ACACACACACACACACACACACACACACACACACACACACACACACATATATACAGATTAGTTTCCGGCTCCTCCCAACACTAAAAGAACCCATGGAATCTAAATGGAATTATCTTCCCCTGTGGTGGGCTTGCTGTAGTCAGATGGAATTTGGGATCCCTGCTCCTGGCTTCTTGGTTGTGCCATAGGTCTACATAGGCTCCTTCTGCTCCTGTGATGTGACTGAAAATCTCAAACTCTTACTCCCCAGGAACCCAGACGGGGATACCAAACCCTGGTGCCATGTGCTGAAGGACCGAAAGCTGACATGGGAATACTGTGACGTGTCCCCTTGCTGTAAGGGCCATCTCCCCACTCCCCCTTCCCCCAGGCCCACTTCTTCACTATTTTCTCTGCCACCTGCTGTGACCACCGCTGTCTGATCTTCTGTATCTTCTGGACCTCCAGGAAGGCCAGAAGATACAGAAGACCTTTGGGAGGTTGGGGGTCTTTCCTGACTGAAGCTATGGTAGACAGACTCACTTGTCCAGATCTGTGGTGGTAATGGGGAGGAACAGAAAGGAAGACCAACACGTCAGTTTCTCCTTGAATGTAATAAGACTCCAACTTCTCTCTCTGAATACCCCTGTTGAAAGTGGTGAAGGTCTTGGTAACCGTGAAGAGAAAGAGCTCTCACGTTGTGGCTCCTTAGACAATCGTTGTTACCTTTCCCCGGTAGCCTGAGGACAACCAGACTTTAGCATCCATTTTTTTTTAAATGCCTCAGAAGTCATGCTGGCCGGCCAAGTTCTATGCACTTCCACACCTGCATAAAGCCCATTTAACACAGGAACTAAGACGGTGAAAGAGGGTTGGATACAGAAAACTCAAGTTGGCACGTGTCCCCAAAGTAAAAGTTTAGTTTGGAAATTGCTTGGTTCAGGGAATACACAGTTCCTGTGAATACATAACTAAGCCTGAGTGTTCCTCAAAGAGTGCAGCCTCTACCTGGAAAGTTAGACCTAAAGGGAACTCCCAGCCCAGGTCACCTCAGGAAGTCCACGAGGGGTCTCAGAGGCTACTGTGGGGCTTGACTTGGCCTTGAAGGGTAGATCAGGCTGAGTAGACAGAAAAGAAAGGGGGGAGCGGTCTCAGGAAGAAATCTGCACGACTACACTATTTCTCAAGCCAAGAATCTGCTGTAGGCAAGATTGGAAGAGGTGATGCACAGAAGAAAGGTCCCTGCTTTTGGAGTCAGACAGGCCCAATCCCCATGTCACTGTAACCTTCTGCGACAGTTTTCCTGCCTTCCTGCCATTCGGTATTAGGGAGGATAAAGTTACACACAGAGAATACTTAGCATGTCGCTGTGCTCAACAAAGGAACACTGTAGTCTCCCCCACCACGGAGACAATTTAATCATTCTGCGTCAACGTGTTAGAGGGCAGTAGCTCTAAAAATTCAAGGTTCTGACAGAAAAAAACAAAAACAAAAAAACCTATGGTGGATTCTCTGAGCCCTTGTTCCCACCCTACAGGCCTGAACCCCCATTTCTGTATTCTTCCCTCTCTAGCCACCTGTGGCCTGAGGCAATACAAGCAGCCCCAGTTTCGAATTAAAGGAGGCCTCTTCACTGACATCACCTCGCACCCTTGGCAGGCTGCCATCTTTGTCAAGAACAGGAGGTCTCCCGGAGAGAGATTCCTGTGTGGAGGCGTGCTCATCAGTCCCTGCTGGGTCCTATCTGCCGCCCACTGCTTTCTAGAGAGGTATGGGTCTCCCCTCCTCTGAGGCCTTGGAACCAGCCCATGGGAGTGACTCACAGAAATAAACAACAATTAAAATTATAAAACAGCTGGGCACAGGGTACACACCTGTAACCCCAGCACTCGGGGAGGCAGAGGCCTGTGGATCTCTGTGAGTTTGAGGTCAGCCTGGTCAATGAGGCAAGTCCAGGGCAGCCAAGGCTACACAGAGAAAGCCTGTCTCAAAAAAAGAAAAAGAAAGAAAAATTTAAAAACAAGCTAATGCTGTTTTTCTACCAGGTTTCCCCCCAATCGTCTTAAAATAGTCTTGGGCAGGACATACAGAGTGGTCCCTGGAGAGGAGGAACAGACATTTGAGATTGAAAAATATGTGGTCCATAAGGAATTTGATGACGACACTTATGACAATGACATTGGTAAAATGCTATTATTTTTTGTACACCCTTCTCTCTCACCCCGGCCGGTCCCTCCTCTTACCTGCCCTAACACCAATGTGCTCCTCCTCTCCCTTTCTCCTAGCATTGCTGCAGCTGAAGTCAGATTCCAAGCAGTGTGCCCAGGAGAGCAGCTCTGTTGGCACTGCCTGCCTTCCTGAACCCGACCTGCAGCTTCCTGACTGGACAGAGTGTGAGCTGTCAGGCTACGGCAAGCATGAGGCATGTAAGTGGAAGGAAGTCTTGGTCCCGTCTGTCTGCCCTGTGGTCCAGCAGATGGAGAGAAGTGGTCGCCGAATGTTCTGGTCATGTTTGGCATGACACGGAAATGCAAGGAAGCACTCTGCCTGCCCGTGAGACAAGAAGCCACCGTCTGCTTCCTTGTGTCACAGGAATTCTGTGCAGGTCACAGGAAGTTGGGATGGGGCTGCACTGAAGCGCTTTACAGTCCAGTGGAGAGAGAGAGGGAGGGTCTCAATGGGAGGGTGTTCTTAGGCCCTGAAGTTGGGCAAGCTGAGTGCAAATCCCAAACTGGCATCAGGCTTAGCTTTGGGACAATGGGTGCATCATTCAGGTTTTGAATAATGGCAACAAATATGAGATCAATCAGTCTAAAGACAGGAAGGCTTTTTTATTTTGTGCTCATGGTTTTGGAAGTTTCAGACCCTGGTCTGTTGTCCCACTCTGGGTCTGTGGCAAAACAGCACGTCATCGGAGGAGCCCACCACAGTGGGCAGGTCACCTTGTAGGAACACATGAGTAAAGGGAGAGCCTGGGCCTCAGTGTCTCTTCCAAAGGCTTAACTCCCTTCTCCCAGAACCACTTCCTAAAGCTTTATCATCTCCAAAGAGCACCACAGGTCTTGGACCAAACCTTGAGCACACTTTGAAGGAGTGATGATCCAAGCCAGAAGTGTATTTTTGTATCATTTTATGAAGGGGTCTCTTGATATTTCCTAGAGTGGTTTCAAACTTGCATTCCTATCTCAGCGTCCCAAGATTACAGGTGTGGACTATTAGAGTGGCTGCTCAGTCTCCAAGTGGGTTCCCTAGTAAGGGGTACAGGGGTACTGACATGAACTCAGTGGCTGGCTCATTGATCACCTCCCCCTAAAGGGGGTGTGGCCTTGCCAGGCTACAGAGGAAGATGATGCAGTCAGCCTTGATGAGATCTGATAGGCTAGGGTCAAATGGAAGGGGAGGAGGACCTTCCCTGTCAGGGGACTAGGGAAAGGCCATAGGGGGAGAAGAGGGGAGAGGGTGGGACTGGGAGGAGATGAGGGAGGGGGCTGCAGCAGGGATACAAAGTGAACAAATTGTTATAGATAAAATTAAATTTAAAAAATTTTTAATTTCAGAAACCTCCGTTTCCTTACTGCCAAAGTAGAGAGAGCTAGCTCCCTGACCAAACGATAAGGAATAAATGATATCATGCCTGACTAAATGGGTGGTTCTCACTTGGGGAGATGCCACTCCCCAGGCCACATCTGGCATTGTCTGGAATCACCGTGGCCACGGTGTCACGTGTCTAAACTGATCCTGACCTTTGGTTAGGAGGGGAGGCTCCCAGATATTTGTGGTGTATATAGCTCATTCCCCATGACAGATAGTTATCTAGCTCAGCTGTCAGTGTCAAGCTTGATCCCACCCTAGAGAACTGTTGGAAGTCTCAACAGTAAAACACGGGGAATGTCGCAGGAGATAACTTGATTTGTGCTAGCTGCTATGGGGAGATTTGGCGCTCTCTTCCCAAAAGTCTTGTTTAGGCCCTTAGACATCTGTGCCTTTCCTTTCAGCGTCCCCTTTCTTCTCTGACCGGCTGAAGGAGGCTCATGTCAGAGTCTACCCCTCCAGCCGCTGTACCTCAAAGCATCTGTTTAATAAAACCGTCACAAACAACATGCTGTGTGCTGGAGACACCCGAAGTGGAGGCAACCAGGACCTCCACGACGCATGCCAGGTACACGGGATGCCCCAGCACCCAGCGCCCTTAGCCGAGGTGGGGGGGAGTGAGAGCCAAGGTGGAAAGTGCGATGCTGGGATTCAGAACTGGAGCTTCAGAGAAGAAAATGATAGAGAAAGGCCGAAGCATCTCAGATGCAAGAAAACTGAACTGCAGGACCATTTCCCATTTTGTAGACAGGAAACTCCACCTAGGGCAGGATTTCCTGTAAGCCTGACACGATAGGTAACTCAACATTTAAATCTTTGACTTGTGAAGGTGTTGGGGAGTGTGAGCCTGCTTCGTAGAATGAGGAAAGGCTTCCCCTGTACCTCCCCATCCCCCCCGCCAGGATGCAAGATATGGATAGGATGTGAGAGTCTCCAAAGTTCTGCTTCAGCCTGGAAAGAAAAGTGCTTTAGGTTCTCAGTGCTGAGTCCAGTGGGACTTGGTACTTTCATCTCCCACTTAGTAAGATGTTAGGATGCTAGCACAGAGCAACTGCTGACATTAAGACCCAGACAGTAACCGCCTGATTAGGAAAAGTGAACCAGAGGTCATTGAGGCCACACAAGTTACAAGTAGCAGAGTCCAAATCAGATTTTATTATTATTTTTAAATAGAGGGTCTCACTCTGTAGCCCTGGCTGGCCTGGAACTCTGTGTAGAAGAGGCTGGCCTCAAATTACAGAGATCTACCTGTCTCTCTCTCCTACATGTTTGGGTTTAAAGATGTGTCCTACCATGGTGCCATTCCAATCAGATATTATCTGATTATAAGCAGTTTGTTTTTGTGTTTCGGGTGCTTTTTCACATGTCAGTAAGTGCTCTTCTGCTGAGCCACACCCCAATTCTCAACAGTTAGTTATCTTAGGTCTTTTGGGTTTTAGTGGATAGGTACTTACTTACAGGCTTTTTGAGACAGTACTCACTCACTGTGTGGTCTTGAGTGGTACAGAACTCTTTTGTAGACCAGGTTGGCCTAGAACTCACAAAAATCCACCTCCCTCCACCTTTTGAATGCTGTGATTAAAAGCACGAGTCACCATGCCAGACTCTTACAGCTGTTTCACCAGAATTAATAATCAGCCTAACCTACACCATCAAGAGAGCTGAGCCTCAGGCATCCTTCTCTGAACCCTGTACTTGGAGGACCACGATCTTCATACCTCAAATAGCAACCCCAATTTCCTTCCAAACATTCTGCCATGTGTACAAGCAACCAATCTCTGTTCTTGTGCAGGGTGACTCAGGAGGACCTCTGGTGTGCACGGTCAATAAGCACATGACTTTGGTTGGCATCATCAGCTGGGGCCTTGGCTGTGGGCAGAAGGATGTTCCTGGGGTATACACAAAGGTTACGAATTACCTGGACTGGATTCAAGACAACATGAAGCAATGACCGAGAGAGCCCAGCAGCTTGAATCCAGAGGAGGACCTGCCTCTCTCCTCTGCAGAAGGCACACCTAAAAGGCCAAGTGCTCTTTACACGATCATCTTCACAGCCTGCCACTCGGCAGAGGGAAGGGGGTTCTGTAGGAGAGGACACAGTGTTCAGCTGTGGTAGGTACTTCACAATTAAGTCGTCAGGGACGAAGGTCTGACTTTAGATCCTGTCTGACGAGGCAATGGGAAAATGCCAGCTGCCCTAGAACTCCAGGATTTCAAAAAGGAAGACAGGCCTAAGCCTGCCCTCCTGGTCCACCATCCTGTCCACTGGGCCACACGATCATGTCTCAACAGGAAAATGCAACTTGATCTTTCAGGAGAGAAAGTTTCCTTTGGGGGCAAGAATGGGTATTTATAGTCACAAGATGGCGCAGCTGGGAGAAGAAGGAAGGGTTGGCTGGCCAGACAACAGCTCCATAAAACCCTTGAAATCAAATATTCCTCACCCTTTCCTCACTCCTCAACTCTTGGGAGGGTATTCCCTTGTATACAGTGTAAATCTTTTTATGAACTTCAGAGATGGTTCAGAGAACCGTGTGGTTTTAATAATTGATGAAATAGCATTAGCATATTTATATATTAACCTATTTTAGTTTTACTTTGTTACCATAACTTTGTATTATACTGTGCTTAAATAAATTCAGAGGTATTTTTCACACTTTTCAAATGGTATATGTTCATGGTTTATTTGCGTTCACATTTTTTTTTTTCTTTTTGGAGTCAATTGAAAGACTTCCTTCCATTCAGTCAGCATGTGGAAATCCTGCTTACCCCACACCCCGAGGCAATATGTTGGGTACCACCAAAAGTAGAAGTCGGGGGAGGGGAGAGCCGGCATGGAACAGGAGGCATTTACAGGAACAGAGTAGAATGGAGCCAGTCACAGGGCAGCAGGGACCTCACTAGAACTCAGCTGTGGGGACGAGAAGGGGTGACCAGGAAAAGTAGGATTCCAAAGGGTTGTCATACAGTAGGTAAGACTGGGTTAGTCTTACCTAACAGGAGGAGGACCAGTCCCGAGACCCTGAACTTCACTGTTGAAACGTGGCCGGGGAGCACAGAGACCCAGCAACACTTTGTCTTACGTGAACTTATAAAAACAAGTCTTTTAGGATCTATTTTATTTATTGTGTGGGGACAGTTATATGGGTGCCCTGGTGCTCATGTGGAGGTCAGAGGATACTCGAAGGAGTCAGCTCTTCCACCATGTGGAACCTAGGGATTAGACTCAGGTCACTAGACTTGGTGGAAGGCATTTTGCTCACTGAGCCATCTTGCTGGCACAAAGCTACAACCGGCAACTGCTGGACCAGGGTCTGAACTCAGGACCTTGTATGTGCTGAACAAGCACTCTAACACAGCTCTGCCTCCAACCAGATCCAAACACTTGATCAGGACTGTAGATTGGATGCTAGGGACTCTGAGGGCCAAATGAGTGTTTGGCTCCAGGAGATGATACACTGAAGAAGCATCTGGGAAGTCAACCACACTCTGACCACAGATGGAGCAGACAGCTGCGTTACTCTATGAACAGAAACTCCAGCAACCCGGAGGGAAAAAAGCCCCGTGTCGGCCCTTTCTAACAGAGCAATGGCTCAACTCATGGTTCCGATTAGATGCTATTATCTTGGTTGTCTCCTCCTACCCCCGCCCCCATTCTGTTTTGTTTTTCTACTCCTCAGAAACAATAGCTCAAGGGCACACAAGTGTGTTGCTTACGTTCTGGGCCTCTAGCATCTTCTCCTCTAGTGTGTGTGAGGTGGGCATCTGTGGGTACGCACACACACAGTGCAGGTGTAGAAAGCCAGAGGTCAGCTTTCAGAAGTCACTTCTTTCGGCCACAGGTGGGAGGATCAGACTTTGTGCCGGCATGGGGCGCACTCTTTGCAGCTGATCTCTCTCTGGCCCCTTGTACACTGTCTTACCAGCCATGGAGTACAACCCCTGTTCCTGCCATTGTCTCCAGCTTTCTTCATCACGTCTTTGTCCAAGAATCTATCTCCTGATGTAAGGCTTGCTCTTGGGTGTGGCTGGTTAAATTTTTTCTCTTTTCTTTCTTTTCTTTTCTTTTTTTTTTTAGGAAGAGAAGAAAGGTCTTTCTTATCTCTCTAGGTTTTGTCAGTACAGCCGTGTTAGAGGCTCTTGGAAGAAAAATAGTTTAAACTCGAAAGAGAAATTTGCTAATGCCCAAGGACTTGATGGGGGAGGTGTTGGGTGATTTCCTGACATCCCCGAAGTACCCAGACCATTGATTTGAGTCAGAGACTAAGTCACACATTTCTTGAGTTCACACAAGTCTGCCTTCATGTTCTGACCTAAGATTTTAGGCAGAAATGTATCTCAGCTCATTCCTGAAAACGCCGCAAGCAAGGCTCCCAGGCCCGCTGATCCAGGCTGGCTTCGCCCCTCCCCCACCGCACAGGCTTTTCTTCAGACACTAGAGTTATTGAGACTGAAACTGAAGCTGAAAAGCCTCCTGGGATGGGAATACAAAGTCAAAAGGCCCCAGCATTCCTGAGGGGAGTCCTGGAAACCATACACAGATGAAGACAATTGCTCAGACTCTTGCAGGGAATTGTCCCACAAGGCAGTCATATGACTCATACCAAAGGGTCGGAGTAGCACATCCCTGCCCAGTATTGGTTAAGAAATGCAGGGTGCAACGTCTGGAATTCTCTGGGAGAAGGGAATGAGTCAAAGGGAAAGTAAATGTAGCCCCATTATTCCTGGATGGTTAATAAAGGAGGACAGCAGACCTAAAGAGCAAGTATGGGCCCAGGTAACTGTACGGGTTGTTAAAGACCAGAGAAGCACAAAGCCTCGGTCCTCCCGAGTCCAGGCCTACACATCACAGTCTTACAGACTTTCAATTCCATATACAAACACTGAACACACAATCCTCAGTATTTAAGACCTGCTTGAGCTTCCCATTAAATTCCCTTTTAAAGCCACTAACAATTATAACCAGTATTAATGGAACCTAGACATCACATACTGGCATAGAAGGAAATATATGTAGATAACATTCCCTGCTTCTAATGTTGCCCTAACCGTCCAGACCAAGGGAAGAGATACAGCAGTAAGCCCTGATCTGGAGGGAACACGATCCGATCCCAGTGGGTGTCTGGAGACAGACAGCACCTACCCCTACAAAGTCCATTTCTCCTGTTAAGTTGTATCCTGCAATCAGATACAGCAAGACATTAGTGCTGACTAACAGCAGAGGACCCTCTCGTTCCAGAGAATCCTGCTAAGTCTCCCTGCAGGCTCAGGGCAGCACAGGAAAACAGCAGCAGCCAGAACATGGGTCTTATTCACGTCTCCCCGAGGACCCTGATGCCTTTGCTGTTCACCGCCAAGGCGCTGTCGGAATAGAACTGTACACATTTTTCTACTGCTTTACAGTTTCAGTTACCAGTATAGTTCTTACGAGATCTTCACAAACTTCACGTGATTTTTTTTTTTCTTATTGAGAACTTTAAATTCCTCATTGAGAGGAAGTATTGTCTTTTGGCCTTCTTGGCTTTTCTTTGACTTATCCAAACCCCTTACATTTACTTTTGAGTTAGGGCTACTTAATAAAATAAGGGGTACTTGAGCACCAAGGGTGTGATACAATGACAGCTGAGAACAGTAGAGATGGATCCTTCCTGGACAGTGAGTACAGAGTGCAGACACGGGGCAAGGCATGATTGGTCCAGGAAAAGATGGTGCCTGAGAGGGTGGGATGGAGAAGAAGGTCGGAGAAAGACTTTACCAAGGTGCTGAGTGGTTCACAACATGTTATTTTTTTCCTGGAAGCGTCCATTTAATATTTGCAGAATGTAGTTGCTAGGGAAACAGGGAGGGCATGGTCTAAGAAGTGGGCAGAAAACTGGCTCCATGAGTACCGGTGCTTACAACCAAGCCTGATGGCCGGAGCTTAGTCCCCAGGACCCACGTGATGGAAGGAGAGAACTGACTCCCACAGGCAGGCCGTGGCTTATATACTCTGCCTCCCACGGACATACATAAATATAATGTCTAAGAGAAACAAACTGAACTTTAAAACAATGTTCAATGTTGTTTTGACTGCATGTATGTCGGTGTAAAGCTGTCAAAAGCCCTGAAACTCCGACAGGTGTGAGCTGCCATGTGGGTGCTGCGAATTGAGCCCTGGTCCTCTGGGAGAGCAGCCAGTGCTCTTAATCACTGAGGCATCTCTCCAGTCCCCCAAACTGAACTCTTAATAAGCACATCACACTTGCGGGTAGTAAATGGAAGTCTGTGGAAAACCAGTTTAGAAATGAAGTATTGCATGTTGTTCACATGGAGGCAGCATTAGCCTCCACGTGGTGGTTGGAGTGAGAACCCTTCCAGTGTTTGGAATCTTAGTCTCAGGTTGATGGAATTACGAGATTGGATGAGGAGGTGTGGCCTTGCTGGAGGGGGCGTGTCACTGGGGTGGGCCTTGAGGTATCAAAAGCCCACACTATTCCTACTGTGCCCCTGGCCTCCTGACGTGTATCAAGATGTGTGCTCCCAGCTGTTCCTGCCATGCCGATGCTCCACCCTCTTGGAGTCTAACCCTCTGGAACTGTAAGCCAGTTAAACTCTTTCATGAGTTGCCTTGGTTGAGGTGTTTTGTTGGAGCAATGGAAAAGTAACTAAGACACTTGGCAATCTCTACACGAGACACCTGAGGCCTGGCAGCTCTGCCTCCTGCCAGTGAGAACAGAGAAAATATTAAAATAAGCACCAGCAGCCTTAACAGCTTTGCCTTTTATAAAAAAAAAAAAATCCTGCCTGAATGATTAGATTCCTCTGGACCCTGCCTGCCGAACAGCCTTACCACCTTACAACCAGCGACAACATGACCCTGTGGCCCAGGGTTATCGGAGAACCACACTCTGCCCATGACTTCAGCCGTCCCCTAGCAGAGTGTTAACTGTCAGTCCCAGTAACCAGACAGAGGCTGCAGGGCTGGAAAAGCTTTATTAAGACTTAAACAGAAATGCTACTTCTGCACACAGACCACACATGGAGTGAGACGCCCTGCCCAGCCATTGCTGACTGATAGTCACTGGGTGAGGCTTGGGTATATCCTCCACATCTAGGCCTATAGGCCCCAAACTCTAACACTGCCTCCTCCCGGGAAAACAAGCTATACGGTTCCCTTACAAACCTGAACATATTCACCGACCAATACAAATAGTTCCCTGGGGAAGTGACTGTGGAAAGCCACCTGTAGCATGGCCCCTCCATGGCAGGTATGTGGGTCCAGACTCTGGAGGGAAGCAGGAAGAAATATCTGATTGTACTCAGCACAGTTCACCCCACAAGAAAACCACAAAGAAACTAACCACTCAGCAGCAAAAACAAGCAAGATAAAACTAGCCAAAAAAAAAAAAAAAAAAAAAGAAAAGAAAAAGAGAAAGAGAAGAAAAGCAAAATAAAGCACAAGCACGTAGAAATAGGACTTTAGGGGAGAGTCGTGCAGATTGAAGGAAACAGGTCTTCCTTTCCCTCCAGGAGAGCACAGTGGCTCTCTAAGCTGTAAGTTAAAAACAACACGCTTGCCTTTTATGTAGATGCTACAATGAGTAACAGACACACTGAAACAGACTGAGAAACACTCTGTAGGGAAGTCATGCTCCTTCAGCTGCCATGGTTTACACTGGTGAGTCA